GTAGCCCAGTTCAGTGTCTGCAGAAATGGCACCTTTTGCACCCCGCTCCTGTGCCCAGGCACCTGGTTTTTGATTACTCAGTGAGGGTCATTCACCTCAGTGAAAGTTCTCACGTGTCTTCTCACAAACCTAGGTCATGGGCACAGGGATGTGGGCAGCCCCAATCCATGCATGCTTTTCAAGCACACCGCTTTCCATACAAGCTTACCAGCTGGCCTTGGGCTATTTGCAGGTCTCTCCATGGAGTCCTTATCTTCCTCTAATCAAATACAGCATTCTTAATCCCAAGTTCTTTGCAAATCATAGCTTGCTGCCCTGGCAGAGCAAATCTTTCTGTAACTACACCGTGTTCATGGCAGTCCTGGCAGTGTCCAACCCAGGTGCTCTAGGTTAACAGGGGTTACCACATCAGCAACAAGGGGGCTGAAATATTGTCATTGGTTTAGGAGTTCCATTGGCTGTCATGGAAAAGGGTGATGATGATGTTAGAGGGGCAGAAAAGAAGGGACTGTATTCACATAAGACCCACAAAGAATGTGTGGAAGCTGAGCCACTGGGAGCAGATCATCTTCTGGGTGATTTTTTAAAGCTCTATTAGCATCTTTTTTTTTAAGATTTATTTACTTATACAAGAACTGGGGTATAGGCCAGATGTGCAGGAGGGTGAGAGGATTCCCCAGAGACAGAGTGGGGAACAGAATAGGAAGACTGACTGAAATACACTGCTGAGGGGAGCAGTGGGTGAGACAGGAGAGGTCTGCTGTGCCATGTGGGTTGCTCCCTGGCCAGCCAAGGATTGAACTAGTGCTGCAGAGGCTGCAGACTGCTTCACAGTGTGGTGCTTAACCCCTTGCACCACCAGGGAGGCCCTCCATTAGCATCTTTATAAGTGTATTTTCTTTATCATTCTTCATGACAGATACAATCAGACACGGTGTTTGTACAAGTGGATGAAGGTAATGAATTATCAAAAACAAAGAATAGTTCTAATGGCAGATGAATTATTAAAAATAGAGATTGCATGAGCAGATAGCAAATTTATTTAAATCAGAAGTGACCGCCAGGTTCAGCATTATTGTGATTGTTGAGTAAGTTAGTGTTTGCTAATATTTATTGAGCATACACCATATGCCAGAAACAGAGTTTCACTTTTAACATTTTGAGGAACAATTGTGGGGGACAGTTGTTGGGGGAACAGTATGTCCTGAATGAACTCTACGACCACTAATGCTTTATGGACTCCACCCCCACCTCCATGCCAAAGAGGTCGCAGGCACCTAGAACTACAACTTCCATCATGGCATGGGTCTGCAGAACTTTTGACTTCTTGAAAGGGGGACTGCTGGCAACTAAGGGAGGCGTTAAGGAGCCATGCTTGATAGAAAAGGAAGGATATGTGGGCTGGAGGGAACTTGTTTTTGCCTGCCTTCAGCATGTACCTGGGGTCATAGCTCAGGTGTTGTTACCAGTAGGACCTATTGACCAGTTAATCTCTCTCTCTCTCTCTCTCTCTCTCTCTCTCAGTGCTCCCTCTCTTTTCATTTCCCTCGTAAATAAACACTTTTTTTGTTTATCTTACATATTAAAAGGACAGGTTTATTAGGAAAAGGAGAAAGAAAAAGAGAGGTACCTACATAATCAAAGGTGGGCTACTGTAAATAAACGTTCTGTTAACTTTTCTCTGTGTGCCTGACTTTGGGTCTTATTCTTAGTTGTTGTTTTTTTTTTTTTTTTTTTTTTTCAAGTGTGTAGATAAGGACTCATATCCAAGCCATCCCATTTCCTTTTGGGATTGCCCTGTAACAACATAACATTTAAATCACATACCCAGCTGATAATAAGACACTCTGTGTATCCCAATTTACAGACGAAGACATTGAGGCTTGGAGCAGGGAAGTAAGTTGCTTTCAAGTCACTAGTATATGTGGAAGAGCTGGGATTTGTAGTTGTCTAGAATCTTGCCTACTCTTACCACACTATGCTGGGCTGCCTTTCATTTAATTTTCTTTGCATCTTGGCCACCATTTATAGAAGCTACTGGCAGTATGTGCATCTGTTACCTAGAGGAAACATTGAATTCATCCATATACATATAGAAGATCAGCAGAAAACAAATCTCTAAGAAGTGGGCCAAGGGGATAGGTAACTGGAAAGAAAAGGAGTCAGAGATTAAAAAAGTGTATGTGTGGGGCTGCAGCGGGACTTAGGGACATATTTTAGGGACAGAAGTAGAGGTAGTGATGGGGAAGGAGTGGTGGCGAAGGTCATCTATACCCAGTTCCCCTGGGGGGAACTTACTTAGTATTAAAAGAAGCAGAGGAAAACTGAGGAAGAGAAGACATATGCTTCCAACTCAGAGGTTAGAATTGTTCTTGGGGAGAAAAAAATTCATTTTTATGGTCAATACAAATTCAGAGAACTGTCTTAGAATTAAGATTCCACTAATATTATGTTAATGCATTTTCAATTGGGTGTATGCATTGTTGTCATGCACTTGCTAATGAACTTTTAACATTGTGTGGCCTTCAGCTCTTGAGGCAAGAGCTGAATTTTCATTATAGCACCAGCTTTCACTAACTACTAGGGAACCAAAGCTAGTTAAGCTGTATGCAGGCTATTCTTTAAGGTCATCATAATCAAGGCACCAACAATTAATTTGCAATTGATTATACATAAGACATCTATTTTCAGTCTCTTTTTCACTGTCACACTCTAAGGAATTTTTCTAACTTTTCCCCCCCATTGCCCTCCTTCAATTTTATACCACATACACACTGTATATTAATTTAAGTACTGTGGGGTTTTGGCAGGTCAAAAACATCATAATATCTAAGAGACCCCTCTATCTTCCCCAAACATTTTTTTTTCTATTTGGGGGTTGTTATCCCACCCAAATAATGCATGTTTTAGACTACCAAATGATGAGTGTAACCCTTCCAAAAATGGTGTTTGCCTCTTATACCTGTCTTCTGCATTTGTAAATTTAGTATTTACTCCCTACCACTTCCATTCCCAAAATATCTGGGATAAGATCCTATTACAACAGGAAAATCCAAGGGAGTATGCCCCCCAGGATACAAAGACAGCTTCAGCTGCTAAAATGAAATGCACACTTCAGGAGTGTCTAATTGCAAAAAAATAGTATGCTTGAAAATTCTCTTTTTTGTTAACTTGAAGGAGGAGCAGGGAATGAAGTAGCTCTCTGTCCGATGTAGAATAAAGATCAATAACATGGTTTAAGGCACCTCTCTGCCAATGTCAATTAAGTAAAATCAATGGCCTGTTGTGGTTTTTCTACTCTTCTTTGCAGTGAACAGTAAGTCTATGCCTAGAATATCTGTTTCAAAAAGGGTGTGGCCTGTGCGTATATATGGGGTGCCGTGTGTTAGGATTAAGGGCGGCCATAACAAAGTACCACAGACTAAGTGACTCAAACAACAGAGAAATATTTTCTCACAGTTCTGAAAGCTAGAAGTCAGAGATCAAGGTCTCAGCAAGGTTGGTTTCTTCTGAGGCCTGTCTCTTCAGTTTGTGGGTGTCAATCGATCCTTCTTTGTGCCCCTACATAGTCATTTCTGTCTGTTCTTAATCTCATCTCTTTATAAGAACACTATATCCAAATGCAGCCACATGCTAAGGTACTAGGAATTCAGACTTTAACATTTGGGGGGTTGGGGGGAGACACAGTTCTGCCCATAACATCAGGTAAGGACTATGAAAAGTCTGTGTACATAAAAAATAATAGGCCACAAAACATCTTTTCAAATCTTTGGTTTCTTACTAGCTGTGTGTCCTTCAGGAGTTCACTTAATCTCTCTGAACTTCAGTTGTCTTCAAAAGTATAGTAATCATCTTGTCTCAAAGGAGTGTAATGAGAATTGTGTCCAATTCATTCACTTTAACTGATAAGGATATATACATTTCTAGCACAGCCTCTGACTTGCAAATGCTTTTCCTCTTGCACATGGATTCAGACTTCAGTGCCTTGGGAATAATAGAACCAACAAGTCAGTTAATATTATTACCATCAAGAAGGGAAAAGAAAACATTTATTGAACAACTATTATATATTGAATACTCATATATACAAAGTAGGGCAAAGATTTATTTTACATAATATTAATAGATTAATTAATTCAACAGCATTTATTATGCCTGTGCTAGATACCAGGTACAGAAAATGACCCTCCTATATCTCTGTAGCAAAAGCCCTCCTTACTGCCAATACCTATGCTCGCTGTATTTCTTGCAACAAATTCCCACACATTGGGGCATTTCAGCCAGACTCATTTTTTTTAATCTCATTGGAAATTATTATTGTTGCAATCAATTTTTTTTTCCTTTTGCTTTCTTCAGAAACAGTCTTACGTGTGTCCAGAGGCTATGGTGTTGTATCTTTCTGCTGGACTACATTACTAATTCAGCTAATTGCAGCAATTACATGAAGAAATCACTGTTGTTGAGAGGAACCATTATGTTGTTCCTGAACAGACTGCATTCCACAGTGCCCATTAATTAAGCAGCCTATAGATTCACAACCGTGACTTCTACGCTGGAGACCATGTACCATCTGCAGTGAAGCCCTGGCAGAGCTGCAGCGTATTATGTGCTGGCTTGCACTTCTGTTTCCCCCCCCCCCATTCTCCATAGCCCTGCTCCTGCCCTTTTGATGTTCCACATTGAACTGTCAGTCAGAATGGACCAGACTGTTCAATGTGACTTGCAGGGATGGGATAGACTTGAACCTCCTGGAACAACGTAGGGTCTTTCAACTTCACATAAGAACCACACTCATTGTCTGCACTCAGAGCTACTCACAGTTACCCAGGAGTTACAAATTATCCATGTTCCATCATGCCCTCTATAGAGAAGTAAAGCAGTCACATTGATGGGAGTCAGGGCACAGCAATACATCTTTGATGTTTTGTTCATTGGTTTCCTTATCTCTTTTCTTTTCTCTTTCTTCCCCCACCCCATTATATTTTCTTTGACATGCACAGCCAACATCAGATGACCTTGTTTCATCTGCTGAATGTTCAAGCGATGATGAAGACTTCGTTGAATGTGAACCTAGTACAGGTAGGTTAGGTCAGTCTTGTTTTGCTTGCTTTATTTTTTTCATTTGCAAAAAACAATACATACATATATGTGAATATACATGTGTTTTATATATATTATAGTGTGTTAATGTGTGTATTTCTTATATCTATATATGTATAAACATACATATATAAATATTAATATATTACAAAAAGCATCAAATCCCATGGAAAGAGTCATAAGAGGCCATGGAAATTTAAAGTCAATCCCTTGATAGTTAAAGAAAAATACATGGTTGCTGACCTAATTTTAGGCATCCATTGCCCAAATTAACTACTGGAACAGCAATTGTTTTGTACCGGTGGCAGCTATGAAATTGACATGGGGGTGGGAACATGAACAAGTTGGTATTAGAATGACATCAAAAAACCATGAATCCAAAGTGGAGCCATAAAGATCATTTAAACCTCATGAATTTTTCTTACTGGCAAATAAAACCAAACCAAAAACCAAAACCAAACCACCACCACAGCCAAAAAAGCATTTTCCATGGGATTTCAACAGCAATTAACATGGTATTATATTTATACTAATTTTGTTCAATGTGTGTTTAGAGAACTTGTGCAGCAATATAGCATAGTAAACACAAAATTAGTACTGAACCATGCCATGTCAACGGCTGCGATGCTTCAAAATGTATCTCCTGTGCTGGAGTTGAGCGGACTTTGGCAATTAGAAGCTTCAGTGTGTTCCCCATTTGGACCCAGATACATTTTGATGGTTTATGGTCTTTATTTATAGTGAGCTATATATGATAGAATGTCCAGCAGGCAACTGCAGTCCCTGATTATGTCTTAGCAACTTCCCCAAGTCATTTGTTTTGAGACTTGCTATAAGTTCAATATTTATGTATATATATATAATAGAGAACAGATATCATCGAATTTCTGTGTATGTTTAATAGAATTAAAAGCTGGAGTTGGGTTAGGATCTTATTTCTGCCAAGGCAAAGATAAATAAATAGAATTTTCTAGTTGGTTCTTTGGGTTGTTTTACTATATTTTCCTTTTCTTTAAAAAAAGCAAGCCATTAATTACACTTTCTTTTGCTAGTTCTAGTGAAATTTAAGCTTCATGAAAAAAATAATATAACCATAGTAAAAACGTTCCATTTCTTATCTCAAAATGATTTACAACTTTTCAAATTTTGTGGAAGCCTGACTGCTTGGTATCTTGCAAGTGGCTTTGGATCCAGGAAGTTCTATGGGTTACTGTCCTTTAATTATGGGGACAGATTAGGAATATGGAGGCCTTCGCATTCTAGAGTTACCCATCCCTTTGGGAGCTCAGCAGTGTAGAAGAAAAGTAAATGTGAACTGACTAGTCACATTTTTTACTTTTCAGATTATTGGGTAATAATCATGACATACTGAGGTTTTAACTCTTAAGGACAGATACGTTCAATCTGTACCAAAGTTTGTTTTTATCCATTGATTGATTCATTCATTATGTAAGTTTTACAGAGCATAGGATACAATATATCTCTAAGTTTGGGTCCTTTCTACTCCAATAATTTTAATAAATGAACTGTTGCAAAATAGAATAAGGAGCTTAACCATCTAAATTAAGTCTCCACCATAATTCAGCTCAACTATTATTTTTTGAGGGTCAACTGAATGTGTTAAGCATGTTAAGGATTCAGATATGAATATAGCATGATTCCCAAGACATATCTTAAATTGACTGATTTTGTGAACTATTAGATTTTAATTTGGACTATTTTTCTCACTTTTCTTGCCTTCAGAGCAGTGATAGCAACAATGTTTATCAAAACTTCAGGTTTTAAGCCGTCTTATAAAAATTGAGGCTTGACCATTTCAAAATATTACCACCATCTTTCCCTACTACCTTCCCTCTCCCACATAGCTATCTCCATGGCAACTTCTATCATAAAACAGAGTTTTTTCTAGATTTCAGATTCACAAATTCTACAGCTCCCTAGGTTGTAGGTGCCATTTGATATTAAACATGAATAGACCCAAACTTAAATCCCTCAAACCAAGTGTATTTGTTTTTAGTGGCTGCACAGATATTTCATCTGATTCAAAAGCAGAGGACAGTCAGTGTCAGAATTTCTAAAGTAATGTAATTGCATGGGTGGGTGGGAGACTAAAAGCAGTGTTTAACATACTCTGTAGTGTTCTAAAGGGAGCCTGGAAGGGGTATCTGAAATAGGGGACAGAGTCCTCACCCTGAAGGAACCACCTATACCTCTGAAAGACTAATGTGGATCCCTTCTTCCTGGGATTATTCAGCATATCACATTTGAAGAACACATATTTTTTCTCTCTAAATGGATTTACTCAGTATTGTATTCCTGGTAAATGACTTGGATACACAGAGATATATGTCAGAGTCATACTTAATACAGGGAGTAGAAAGATATTATTACTGAGGCAGAAGTTTCACCCAAAGAACCTGATTAACATTGATGACAGTTAAGTCCATAGAGCTCCCAAACCCTCTTTAGCATAACATGCGAAATACCCCCATAACATCCACATCTTCCAAAAGCAATATAGATTACATCATTTAAAAATTTAGGCCAGTTGTTTCTGGAGCAAGGACAGATAATGCTGACATTTATATAAATTTGACAAGATTGTTAATCCTGATATCCTTATATGAATATTGAGACCACAGCTGATTTTGAATACCCTAAATCACTGCCTCAGTTTCTAAAATACTCTCTTCTAGACCTGATGTTTGATGGAAATACTAAATATGACTAACCCAGGCCTTCTTGTTCCTTAGTTAACAATAACCTTATCTCCTATCATTTTGTCAGTAAGCTTATTCTTTTCTAGCTCTCACAATGAGAAGTCATTTAACACCTACATATTTTTCTTGATGAATTTAGGTCCAGTAGAAGCTCTTATTTTTATAAATGTGGGCAGTTAGTATAGTCTGTATTCAAAAACTTTTATAGGGGCATCAAATTTCAAATAAAATTATTTTTCTCATTTAATTTTCATTAAATCAAAAATGGGTTTCAGAGCTGCTTGTTTTGAGTCTGATATAATCAGTTGCTTGTTACACCCAGAACCCTCTTTGGCACTAGAACCCTCCTAGGTTTGGGTGACTTGGTCATATTTAGAGTCAACTTAAAATTTTTATGGAGTTTATTTGAGGGTAGTCTAAAAACCTTGAAAACCCAAGGCATTTCAAATTTTCTGTGTAATTTTTTTAGAACTATGTGGATGAAAAAAATTTAAATACTAAGCCATGAAAGCAAGACCCAGAGTAAAAACTAAATTAGCATTTGTTGACAAAATTAATATGACTTTCAAAATACTTCATCATTTTAAATTAGAATTAGAGATTTTTTATTCCTCTCATTTCACTCCCCTTAAGTAGCTAAATAAAACCTGTTGAGATATTAAAATATATGATTTCATATATAAGAATTGCCCTCACAAAATCCATGTTTCTTTAACAAAAAGGAATTCCCTACTTTTCACTACCCTTTCTTTTCTTGGACACTAGATCATTTTATGATGAGTCATAGTGTTCAGAATATCACATTTTCCAAACACTGACTTTAAGAAATCAGAAATGAAACTTGCAACTATAAAATACTAATGAAGCCATTTGCATCAAATGAGAATACTCAGAAGAATATTTGAATAATTATTTAAGTATCTCAAGTTCAGATCAGCTTTTTCACTTGACTAATTTATAAACATTGATTGTGTTCCCCACAAAGGAAATCAGTGTCAATTTAATATTTCAAATTTATATGTGTATATACCTTTGCATATAAACCCTTTCCTTCTCAACTACACTTCTATTAATATTAAATGGTACAGTAAACTCATATTTCATCGCCCTTCTTACTTTTTTGGATGGAACAGCAACAACAAAAAGATAAACTACAGAAGAGTCAAATAACCCCTAGGAAATGAGATTCACTCATGAGATTATGAAAGGCGAATTGTAATTGGTATTTTTAGCAAATTCGTCTTTGTGATTTAAAATATGGGCATGTGTATTTAAGACAGACAAATGGATGACATTCACTTTCCGTTTCTTCCCTCTCTTTCCCTTGTTCTCATGCCCCCAGTATCTCTATCATTGGAAATAGAAATAAAAGCAAAACAAATGCATTCCCTGATTAGCTTCTGAACAGTTAGAAATTATCAGCTTCCTGTAGTTTATATATTATCTCAAGATTTTAAAAATCTTGGTGTCAAGAATCACAGAGCAGAGGAAAAATCTGGAAAATGCCTTGTACCCTTGAGAAGTGGGCATGGCAATAGTTAACAACTACATTGACTCATCCAGTCATTTATCCAGGGATACATTTTTCTGGTTGTCAATTAGCCAGGGTTTTTGCCTCCACTTGTGTTAAATGTCCTTTGATTAACTCTCAAGGGACAATACTTCCACCAGAGCACAGACAGTAAGAGGAAGTCATGATGAAACACATCCATCCATCAATAGGACTGTGCTAAACAACTCTCATAATGGTTGGATTCAGGGGGGAGTGGCTTAAACTAGTGTCAGGTATCTGAGATCACAAAATAATTACTATTCCCAAAGTGGTTCTCAGATATATTTTCACTCCTCCAGCCTACTATCCTAAAATGTGCCCTGGGTATTCTTGCTACCTTTTTCCTCTTTACTGGTCCCACTATAATCACTGACCCATTGCAGGTAAAATTTACATTTGGTGAAACACCAAGTTCACATTCATATATGTGTACTCTAGGCGGAATTGGGTTCTTAATCCTTATGAATTTAAGAAACCTCAAACAAGTATTATATGAAAATCTGGCACTGAGTCATTAAAAACTTACCAAATCTTGGATTTTATTTGCTGACACTGTAAAATGTTACCCCAAAGAACATTCTTCTATTACTTAGGTTGGGGGCATATGATTCTGATTCAATATGATTCAAACATCACTTCTGGGTAGTAAAAGTCTTTGCTTGGAATGCCACACTTATGCATAGTCAAGGAACAGGGCTTCTTAGGTT